AAAATAATAAAGAAAGCACCAGAAGAATGACATAAAAAAAAACCAAAAAAACGATGTAAAAAGTATTAAAAAACATGTAAAAAGCACAAAAAAAACATAAAACATACCGAAAGAACAACGTATAAAACACCAAAAGAACAGCATAAAAAGTAGTGAAAGAACGATATAAAGAGCACCAAAAGAACGACGTAAAAGTCACCAAAAGAATGATGTAAAAGGTACTGAAAGATCGACATAGAAAAAGCAACGAAAAAAGAAAATAAAAAAAAAATTATTGATCGCGTTTATAAAAATAAAAAAAAATGCAGGGGTTAAAATGCAAGGGGTGGAAAATTTTTTGTGGGATAGCTACCTAAAATATGTAGTTATGTCCGAAATTTGAGCACTAATACAGCCCTAATACCGGTACTAGCTAATATTATAGCAGAATTACGATCCGGGCAACTTCTCTTAGTACATCGGTTAGCGGTTTTATTAGTAAACTAAAATTTGGTGATTTCGGGCAAAATTACTCAAGTCCGGAAACTCGGGTTACACGAATCTCAATTTTACCGGACGTTCGTTAAGCTGCACTAACTGTAGATACTTTATAAAATAATCCACTTTTAAAAAACTTTGGTTGATGATAGGCTAAGAATAGGGAATGTCCTATTTTATGGATAGATACCAAAATTCAGCAGACCGACCAAAATTTAAGGTCGGAATAGACCCGGAGCTAGGCCGGCATTAAGTAATAATACAAGCCAACTATATTACAGCAAAATTATCATCTGGGCAGCTTTACTTAGTACGTGGGCTACCATTTCATTAGTAAAATTTTGGGTGATTTGGGGAGAAATTTATCAACTCCGGCCTATTCCGACCCTAAATTTTGGTCGATCTGCTGAATTTTGGTTGCTCCACTAATCTATCATAGTTTTATCGAGTTTAAAATACCGTAAAATTGTAAAATAACGATCGTGGGTGTTATTTCTTAAAATTATATAATTTCAATCTCGAAAATAACGCATTCGAAATAACTCGTTATTTCGTGGTTTTACGGTAAATGAAATCGCTGCTCGAAAATTCCATCCCAACTGGTATATACATGCTTGGTCTATCTTTTAGACTCTAAAACTAACCTTTGATAATAGTCTATGAAATTTTTTACAATCTCGTATGCTCGTGGTCAAACTTCAAAACTTTGTAGGATAATAGTGCCTAATACTATAATGAGTGTAACGAGCTTATTAGTCATCATAAATATTATTTACTCATTTAAATTTCTTTTCTTTCACACTTTTATTGCTTAAATTGAGAACGTGAATTATTAACTTTTACATTTAATAACAAATACTTACCTCAAATCTGAAATGACATCCAATCAATCCAGCAGATCGGAATATAACACGAATTCTTCTTTTGTTGGAAATAATCTTTCTATTGAAGCTTTTCCTGCTAGAAATTCTCCTGCCGAAAATTCTCCTGCTGGAAATTCTCCTGCCGGAAATTCTCATAATGATTCTCATGTTATAAATTCGATGAATAATAATAAGGCGAATCCTATTCATAGAACCAAGTCAATTATCTGGGGTGAAGACTTTATTTTTGGTTCAAAAGTGTTTTTGTTTCCTTAAAGTTCTAAATTATATTTTATACATTATTATTTAAAAAAAGGGTTTCAAGACCCAAATGCTCCACGTGTAAATTGTGGCGCAGTACTCGCTAATATGCCTTCAAGGCCAAACTCTGGAATCTGGACTCCAAATCCTGAGAAACGGGGGCAGTTATGACCTTTTTTTTTTTAATAATAATATGATGTGAATCTACATTATTAAGATGTCACAATTGTTTGTTATTATATGATTATTTCTTTAATAAATGTTTGTGTATCTTATAATAGATGTTAAACAATTAAACGTTAAATTCTTATCCAATTTTAGTAATGTCTCTATACGTACGTACGTACGTACGCATTTGGTTCATAGATGTGGGCAGATTGTATATTAGCCAAGACTTGTGTGATGGAACAAAGCTTCTGGCATAATGTTCGTCTGTTTTTAAATCTCTGAAAAATTAGTTGA